TAATAGTGCTATAGAGCTGTTTTTCTATGAGTTGGTTCCTGTTTTGTTTATCGCCACACATTTTCCTCTGTCAGTATCACAGACTTATAAGGCTGTACGACATTGATGAGACTATGATCTTTAACTGTGTGCTATTCACAATGTGAATGACATATTTGCCTTTTCAGACATTACCAATAGCCAGAAAGGAGCTGACTAGTTAGATTTTATGTAACTGTTGTGCAGAGCCAAATTAGTTCCACCCCAGCAAACAACACCTGGAGAGGGTGCAGAGCTTTATGCTAATATTATCCAGGGAAACCTACACTCTGTGCTCGGCTAATTTCCTGGACAGCAAAGCAGCCGTGTGGTCTCAGCTGTGATAATATACACCTTCAATGTGGGTCTATTGCAGACTGAGATCTGTTCATTTGAGCTGTTCCTACATTATGTATTGCTCATTTATGGTGTGTCTTTCTGTAGGTAAACTGTCCTGACTTATGTTCCTGGGTTTTTAACTTTACAACATTTTTCATTTCTTTCGACTGAGGTATTACCTATAACTGTTTTTTTCTCTTTTCAATCAGCTTCTTTATGAGCGATGGGGTCTGTTGCGTGACGACACAATTTTCTGCCACGGTTAGAACAGTTTGGATTATTTCACATGATAGGTTTCTGTATTTTTGTTTTCACTGAGCTCTCTGCCAGCTTCAATGGTTTAAAGTAGGCCGGACTCAAATCTGATTAAACCGCACCCACACAGCCCTCCTGATGAAGTAAATTAGCTTTAGTTTTTAGCGCTACGGCTGTTTCTTCCCAACTTCATCTTAAATTTTTGCTTGTTTAGTCTTTGGTCATAGATAGTTAATGTTAGAGAGAAGTAATTTAGATTTGAAACCACATTTTCATTGGCTTTAAATACAGTTTATGATACATTAGCGTTTGCCAGAAAGCCATTGTCTAGTTCAGTGGTTCTCAACTCAAAAGTTGGAAAATTTTAATATCCCTATTAATTCATCTGCATCATCACATACCAAGTGAACAGTAATTTAAAGGTCCAGTGTGTAACATTCAGGAGGCTCTATTGGCAGAAATGGAATATAATATTGATAGGTATCATCTTCATTAGTGTATAATGACCTGAATAAGGAATCCTCGGTCGTCTTACATGGAGTTGCCATGTTGAACCACCATGTTTCTACAGTAGCCCAGAAATGACATACCAAACACTGACTCTGGTTAGGGGTATTCATGTGTCACACTGGACCTTTAATGTTGTCTTTGTCTTTTTTTCTTTGTCAGTTCACATAAATTAATTTCTGTCCTTCCCCTGAAAGTCACAGACATTTAGCCAATGGCACAAAAACGCAACATATTCTGTCCTTGTTTATGCATTTGTGCTCACCCACATCCGGACAGTAAACTCTTTTGGCGTATCTGTTCATTGTCATTAAGAACTGCACCAGGGAGTGGGTGACAGAGAAGTTAGATATTCTTGCAGCATCCCTGGACACCCTGAGAGGCTGACACTGCATCTGTTACCAGGATGGAGTAGGCTTCTGTTTTCTGGAGAAATGTCAGCTGGAAATGAGCAGTGCAGCTCAATTATCAAACCCCTGTTCATACACAGTCACTGGCCACATTGGACATCAGCTGAAGGCAACTAATTTAGAATGATTTCTTGGCTTCCGCCATGGCTGCTCGAGGTGCCCTCTACCTTAAATAAATGACAGGGCACATCTTAATTGCTCAAATTCAGTTTTACCCAACTGTGGCAGACATTTACTAGTATACATCGTTTTTATTTTACATCATGAAACCAATGGGAGGGTTGTAAAATATATTAGTGGTCATAGTGGACACATCCTTGACAGGTCAATCCTGACAATAAAGTGTGTTTTTGTTTTATGCTCAAAGACTGTCAGTGTTTTAGAAGATCCATGTTGTTTTTTTACATACATGTATCCACTGGATCTTGCTAATACTTTCCATGTGGATCTAATTTGATCCAAAGAAATCTTATTTTCCTCAGTGAAGAAATCTCCAACTGACAACTGTCCCAACTTTTACCATTAATGCCAGTTTATTGAGAACAGACTCTGTTTACCCCTATGCAGATCCCAAAGCATGCCTGTGTTCTGTTATAAGTGGCAGCCCATGCTATATAAGAAGGGCTTGGTCTGCTCTGCGCTGTAGTATGATCTGCATAGTCTGTCTACCCTTGATGTTGTGCATGGGTCTCCACACACAGAGCTGCCAAGCCCTGTTTGTGTGTTTTATAGTGGTAAAAAGACTCTAACAAGTGGATTATGGGAGCAGACAAGGGCAGACAGAGCCCGGTAGATTGGCTTCTGGTCAGTGAGAGATGAATGCAGCTGACACTCAAAGGTGGACAGTCTTTTTTTATTATGACAGTATTATAGACAGTCTGAATGAAGTGGACACAGTGGTTTCACCCAAGGGTGGCTGTTAGAAGAGGATGTTTTTCTGTGCTCTGTGTTCTTGGGAAATCTGTGTTCTCTTGGTAAAAAAAAAAAAAAAAAAAAAAGATGATTTTTTCCCCCAATTGAATCCACCGTTATGTCCAGTCCCCCCAGGAGGAGCTTCACTATAGTCAACTAAGAGCAGTGAAATATCCATGCAATTGCAACAGCCAAATCCGCCTTAGCCAAAGGCAAAGCATCCCCCCCAATATCCCCACCCCCACCGCACACACATACACACACCTCTGTCCAGTGCCACGCTCCACAAACATATTCTGTGTAATGTTGAATTTTCACAAATCTGCCCTGTCAAGCAGCAAGCTTTGCAGACAGTCTCCACGCTGTGTTGCTTTTGAAGACCACAGTCAGTCTATCGCTACATAAGTATGTGTATGACATGTTTCCGTCTAAAGTCAAGCTTTTCAGGCATCCGGTGCCAGCTGCTTCTCTCTGTGCCATGTCTGCCAATCCTCTCTGCTAGCCATTGCTGCCTGCCACATCCTCCACATCCTCTTTTTGAAGCTAGACAATGTCCCTCTATGACTGTGTGAGCTGTGAGATACTCATTTTGCACCCCAAAGCCTGCTTTTCTCTGCTAGTCCTTTTGTGAGGCTGTGCTTGTTTGTTAGCTGACATGAAGCTCATGTTAAAGTTACCAGTGACCTACTGCTGACTGCATTCATTTTAGTTCTTATATTTAAGTGCTGCTTTTGCTTCAGTCGATCATAGCGTCCTGTTACCACGCCTGGAGACTTGGATAGGCATCAAGGGCACAGCTCTTCGTTTATTATGCTCTTACCTCTCCAACAGAACCTTCTCTGTTGTTTGGGTAACTATTCTTCCTCTGTGGCTCAGCTGAGTTGTGGTGTCCCTCAAGGTTCAGTTCTTGGTCCCATTCTGTTCTCTATATACATGCTGCCTCTTAGCGAGGTTATCCAAAAACATGATTTGTTCTACAATTTTTGATTGACGATGACACTCAGTTATACTTACTCTTAAAACTCACAAATCCCAGCAGCCTAGCAAACCTCGCAACTTACCTCTCTGATATTAAATCCTGGATGTCCCAAAACATTCTCAGATTTAATGGTGATAAATTGGAGCTCATCCTGTTTGGTCCCCTAAATCCCATGAGCTCACTTGGTGCTAATCTTGGTGGTCAGCAAGATAATGTTAAGCAGGCTGCTAGGGGTAATATATGATGCAAACATCTGCTTTGACTAGCAAGTCAAAAATGTTGACCAGTCATTGTTTGATCCAGCTAAAGACAATTGCGGTCATTTTTATCCTCTCGTGATCTGGTAAATGCTTTTGTTTATTCTAGGCATTGATCACTGCAATGCATTTTACTCGGGTATCACCAGCTGGTACAGAATGCTGCTGCTCGACTTGTTACTGGGACAAGGAAATATAAACACATGACCCCAGTGTAGGGAGCACTGGGTCCCTGTCAAATTTCGGATTGATTTAAAATTTTTATGACTCACTGTTAAGTATTTGATATGTTTTTGTGTATAATGTTTTTATTCTTATTTGTTACTCATTCCATTGTTTTATTACTTCAGTGCTCATGTTCCATATTGTCATTTTATCTGCCTTGCTTGGTTTTTATTTTTTCCTCTGTACACCACTCTGTAACATTGTTAAGAAAAGTGCTATATAAATTCAGTTTATTATTATTCTGTCTGTTTCATTTCTTCCTTTCTTTTTTTCCCTTTCCTTTCTTTCTCCTACATATCTGCATATTACTTTTGTTTTTCACTCTCCATCTCTCTCTGCCTATTTATTTCAGTTTCTTGGTTCTTAGACTCGCAGATACTCACTCTCGCAGGAGGACCATTCCTCCGGGCTTCACAGCTGTTATTGGCATATCGCACAGTTTCATCTTTAAAGCCATAACATTTTCTCGTTTTCAATACGAAGTCCAATTTCTTTCCTCACTAAATTAGACATTAGTCAGCCCTTCAGGTAAGTGATACCAGGGAGTGAAATTAATGTGGTAGAAATTGTGTGGTTTCGGGCCTGCTATATTATCAAGGTTTCACATACACACGTGCTCACACACACACACACACACACACACACACACACACACACACACACACACAAGTCATCCACATCCAACATAACCCCTCCTCATGCTCTTCCCTCCAGTCAGTTGCGTAAATTGTCCCGGTCTAGCCAGGATATGCCTCTTGAAAATATAGCTGCCAGAGAAAATGTTTCTCTGGACATTTGATGGCCCGCTTATGTATTGAGTAGGATTGCAAATCTATTGAACTGGAGCTCATACAATGTCAGTAGACCATTAAATTTGTGTGAAAAGGCCTCTTGAATGAGCAGATTGAACAGAGCTCTGTCTGTGTTCTGGCTCAGCAGAGTCCACTTTTCTTAAGATCACTTTGGTTTCTCAACAATAAAAGCACACATGAAGCAGGATTGTTTCTGTGTCTCAGGCAAATTGGTACATTTTATTTTAATATCCCGTCTCTTCATTCTTTCAATTCAGTCAACCTGATTCTTCCATTCTTCTTGTAGGTATCCATTCCCAACAGTTTTCAGCACATGCAGTAAGAAGGACCTTGCTGCCAGTCTGGAGAAAGGCGTTGGCATGTGTTTGTACAACATGCCCGAAGTCAAGGTGCTCTATGGTGGCCAGAAGTGCGGCAATGGTTACGTGGAAGAGGGAGAAGAGTGTGACTGCGGTGAGCCAGAGGTGAGTTTGAGAGCAAAGGCCTTCATCTTTACTTGCTTCACTGGAGTGGATCAGTCTCCCAACACTGTGGTTGTACTGGGCAGCTCTGTGTAACTATGTGAATGTGAAACGGTGCGGGAAAAAGCAAATGTTTTTGGGAGATAAACAAAAGTTAAAACACAAAGTCAGTTGGGAAAATCAATTTAAGTGTTTGGTGAATCAGGATTCAGCGAAGTGTTGTTAATGTGATTTAGAAAAAATTCCGTGGGTGGTCCTTTTCCCAAAATGTCAACAAGAACAAAAAAAAAGCAGGCCGGATTTTTCTTAAGATTCTCATTTCTATTCACTGTAAACTGCCTCCACAAATCAGCATGTACTCAAAAGTATCAAACGTGCACCTTTCCAACTTCATATTCCCCTTACAAAACCTATTGTCCAAAGAAAACAATGGTAACCTTCCTGTTAGCAATCACTGAGAACCACAACAAACTTCACGTAAAAAACTCTCTTGACATTGATGTTGTTATTGCGGCTTAAAAGCATCGAAACCTGCTGTTCAAAAAATAGCCTAAAAGCTCAGCAAACCACCCGAGGCCTCCAATATAAGTGTTTTATTTACATCACACCTTCTCTCCCACATGTGCTGAACAGTGCTCTGACAGGCCGCCACGCTGATGTCATATCCTTGTTGAAGGCCCATTAATCAAACCACTGTCCAACTGCGTGACAAAGGAAACAAACAAAAGTGCAATCGGGTCGAGACGCTGAAATAAGCTTTCTTTGGCTGTGGAACCCAAACAACTAGGCACGCTCTGATGCATGTATTCAGCCACACACACACACATACACAGACACACCTTGTTTCTTGCTAACACACTGTTAAGTGAGAATCACATGTGGGAAGCATGTATTGCTCAGTTGCAGCCAAGGCAGTTGCATGTCTCAGAAAGCCTAAAACCAAAGGAGATTTGATGATGAATCACTCAAAATCTCTCAAGGTTGATGGATTTTGTTTAGAATGTAATGCCCCCCATGATTCTTCAAATTGTTTGTTTGTCTAACCTACATCTAAAACCCATAAATTATCAATTTATAATGATGTAAATTAGTGAAAAGCAGCATATGATAAAATTTAGCTTTTACTATTTGCAGGTAACTATAGTTAATAGTAGATAATTCAATACATTTTAAGATTCAGATCAGTATCAACCCTTTGTTAGCTATGGATTCTAGTGGCAGTCTAATTCATATTCACAACCAAAAACTGCAACCTGAAAATGAGATCAGCAGGAGATATGAAATTATTGGGGGTTTGAGGGCTTTTTATTGTCTTTAATTGATGGGGACAGCCAAGAAGAGTGACAGGAAAGAGGGGAAAGAGAGAGAGAGGATGACACCCAGCAAAGGGCCACAGGTCAGATTTGAACCGTCCGCTGCTGCAGCAAGGACTCAGCCTTGGTACATTACCTTGGCCAGCTCATCATTGCGTGTGATGAGTGACGACATTAGCTTGCTGTGAGCTCATGAATCCGACAAGTTTCATTTAGTTTCATTACCGAATTAACGTTAATTAGCCGATGATTTTTGTAACTGGTGAAAGTGACGGTCAGCGCCAGCTAAAATGAGCCATCTAACATTGGTTCACTAAGAGAGAAAAGGTTTGATAAGTGATTTGTTAGCGTCCTCTTTAATCCTGAGAGTAGTGTTATTTCGGCGAACTTACTATTTAAAACTGACTCAACAATGTGTTTGATTATTTAGTTAAGTGGTGTTATGACTGTGTACTCCATCATTTAGAGGCAACTGTTGGTAGTATTTTAGTGGAGTCATTGTGTTGACCACCAACGAACTAACTGTATAATTTACATTTTCCAACTCCATCTCTGCCAGTTTGCCCCTCCATAACCCCCATGATATCACCACAGAGGGCCTGCTTGTTTTATTTGCTGGCCCACTTAGACCTCGAGATGAAAGCCACCTTTTCTCTCCTCTCTAAACAATAGGATTACGTCAGGGCCAAGAGGTAAACAGCCAGTCTCATAAAACCACACATCAAATGAAAATTAGATGTCCAACCATCCAGTTCTCAGCCTTCACCACGTCTTGTCATTACCTTAGAGGCCTACAAGCAAAACAGCCACGTTGAGAGCGCGATTTGTGACACTACTTGGAAAACAAAGCCGATGTGTTTCGGCATCCAATAAAAGATAAACATTGCAACACCTCCCTGAAGTCTTTTACAGCATTATTTCTCTTTCAACTAGTCCTTACGTACCCTATCTCAGCGGCTTCTGCCAACGGCCAGCTGATCTTGTCATCATGGTGAAGTGGCTACAATCTGTGCCTCTTAGGGGCCTTCAAATCCCACTCTTGCTCCTGCCAATGATACCCAAATAGTGAACTCTTGCCACATCATTCCATTATCTCCATCAAACCAGATTTGAAGATTTTAACACACCCCACCCCAAGTGCTAAACATGATTTCTATATTTTCCTCCTCTGCTTCACATTCTCAGTTATTTTTTTTACATGGGTCGCCGCATTAAACACACTCCTCTTTCTGCAAGTCCAATGGTCTTGAGAATTCTCAAATCCAGAACACATGAGCTTCAGTTAATATGTCTCCACTCAAAGGTCTCCAGGTCAGGGTAAGCAAAGCATGAATCCCCCGGACAGGAAGTGTGCTTCGCTGACCTGTAAGTCTCGATCTGACAGGGACCAGCTGACAGAGCGGTGATCAGGTCCACATGTTGTTAACTATTTTGTGTTTTCCCTTTTATTCTAGGAATGTATGAACCCATGCTGCAACGCCACCACATGCACCCTTAAGGGAGATGCTGTGTGTGCCCACGGACAGTGCTGTGAAGACTGCAGGGTAAGACCCTTCTTTTCCCAATTTAAATGCCTTTATACCATTCTCATAGCTGAAAAAGTTCTGAAATTGTATTTTCTCTTTTCTCAGTCTCCTGAACATTGCACAAAGCTTTACTCTGCAGAGATGGACATTTTTCATTTCTAGACTCAAGTGCAAGACCCAAAACTTTCTTAAAGCCTGTTAATTCTCTCTGTTAGGTCATTAAGAGACTCATAATAGTGTGACCTTGGATATAATTTAATATCTCAGGGCAGCTGATTCAATCTTGGGATGTTTTACCTCAATAGGCAGGTTTCAATTGAAGAAAGGCTCTCAAGTTAGATTGCAAGTTCACTTTCACCAAGTTATTAGTGGTTTTTGCTATGACATGGAACTCTTTGTCCACTCAGATGTCCTCTCTTTGAAAAGGAACATTTGTTGAAGATGATTAAACGATTACATGTTTCTGCACAGACCTCCATGAGTCCTTCCCTGTGCTTTATACAAAAACGTGTGACAGTGTTGTACATAGATACAATAGATGTCCTGTTGTAGCTCATTTCAGACATGAAAAATGTATTCATATTTAATTAAGCCCCCAGTCACTTTTCTTACTGGATCAGATCTAGTTGCAAAGTGGCTCGAGTGTAAAGGCCAGACCAGCACAAGGTTAAGTATGCAGAGAGATTTTGTACTAGATAGGTGTCTTCTTCTTAAGAGCACTGTCAGTAGATCACAATGAAAAGAAAATAACAACAAAGGGCTGTGCAATATGACAAAAATCTCATATCCTGATGTATGATAACAATATATATCACTATAAAGCACATTTTCTTTAAACAGTTTATATAAAATCACACATGGAATGGCCTATTTCTTATTACATTTTGAATTATACTTGCCAAATAAAAGTTACTTATTCATATTTGATTATATATTGAGATATATAAGAGAGAGATGGGAAGACGGTGGATATAATAAAAGCACAGACCAAGTAAAGCATTTTGTACCACGTTGGTTTCACTATTAATCCCGATTCAGACTGAAATGCGAGTTGTGTTTTTTGGGGGACTTTATAAAACATACTGCTGGAGAGACACAGAGAGAGAAACAGAAAGAGGCAGGGTGGGGCAGATTCGCCTCATGTGCAGAGCTGCTGGTGTATGCGTGTGTGTATGGGGAGAGTGAAAGCAAGGTGAGCAGAGTAAAGTAATTTGTGAGTAATCGCTAGTGAAACATTTGCTTTGCATTACATCCCTGCCTCATCAACTCCTCCAAAAGTGCATATTTCTCTCATATGAACTCCGGACTCCAGAAGAGAGTGATTTGTGACACAGTGAAATAGGTGAAACAATAGACGTTTTTCTATCCTTACACAATATAATTGGTCATATCACACAGCCCTAAACCACAACGCACTGTATCTACTTTCATTAGTTTCACATGTAAGATTTGTCTATAAAAATGTGTTTTCATGGTTTTTATTCTTACTACCTTCGTGGTGCAAGGCAAAAGAAGAAAATCAGCCATTGAAAATGACAAAGACCATCACAATAAACTACATTTTCAACATTCATCCATGGAAAATTATTACAGTATAAATATCCAGCAAAACATAAAGGATGTAAGCAAATTAAATTAGAATCAATCTCAAATCTCCTCTGATGTCTATAAAATCAATTTTAACTGCTCATTATTATTATTATTAGGGCATCCACTAGTGAAAAGCCTGGGTGATCATCCTTCACACTCATGGTGGTCATTAATTAAGACTTGAACTGCAAAATCAATTTAAAACCCATCACTCTTGTAGCCTCCAGACAACTGAGAACATTTTTCTTCCTTGATATCATTTTTAACCTCGCTAGCAGCATAGCTCTATGGATGGCATTGTTTTGTCCAGACTGAAATTTCTCTATTAAACTATTTAATGGATTGCTGTGAAATACTGTACTGACATTAATATTTCCCAGAGGGTGATCCCCTCATTTTTATGTAGCGCCACCAAGGTTTTTATTGCATGGATTGCCACCAATTGTGGTGATCTCCATCCTCTTCATCTAGCATCATCAGGTCAAAATTCTAAACTGTCCAATAGTTTGGTTCTCACATAGCCAGACCACTCCACACTTTGGTTGGAGGTGGAGCAAGTGCATGAAACGCAAAAATAGAACCAGGGTGGGGTTTTCAAACAAGCGACACATTGGGAAAACCTGTAACAATCTCATATTCGCTCATCTGCATCGCTTCCTGTTAGGTGGCAGTGTTACAGAGCTGCTAGTGTAGCTGTAGACTCTTTGTTTCGCTCTCTCATCGCTGTTCTTAGTGCTATCACTCCTTCTAGCACGCCATATGCCAAATATCACACAAGCATTGCTGCTCTCTTTGTAACAGTTCTGTCATGTTTGAATGAAGCCAGAATATTTACAAAGCCCAGAAGCATTTACTTTAAAAGATAGAGTCAGAAATGTTGCAGACTCTATGTTTGAAAGGGTTTCCTGTACTGTATTTACTGTGTGTGTTTACAGCTGAAACCAGCTGGCACCCTGTGTCGAGAGTCCAGCAACTCCTGTGACCTGCCAGAGTTCTGTACTGGTGCCAACCCTCACTGCCCAGCCAACGTTTATCTGCATGATGGGCACGCCTGCCACATCGTCGAAGGCTACTGCTACAACGGCATCTGCCAGACTCATGAGCAACAATGCATCACCCTGTGGGGACCAGGTAACTCAATGGCTACTGATAAGTTTGACTGTGTACATAATCTTTACTTCCATAAGGGGATCCTTCACTGTATTTTGGTGATTATATTTTTGTATTTTCTTTGTTTGTTTTTGTGTGTAGGAGCCAAGCCTGCCCCTGGGATATGCTTTGAGCGAGTCAACTCTGCAGGGGATCCTTATGGGAATTGTGGGAAAGACTCCAAAGGCTCCTTTGCCAAATGTGATGCACGGTAAGACAGTGCAGCTGCACTGATGCAGTAGAGGTACAGAGAAATCACTGCGCAAAATACAACTGATTAGCTTAAGTGGTGTCATTAGCAATCATCATTACGTTGTGAAATCTGACATGTGATCTTCAAACAAAAGTTTACATGGGTGAAAAATGTAATTTGAGAAAGATAGTAGCTAATTACGTTCTAAGAAAGTATTCATGAATCGTTTCATGCTATTCTTGTTGGCTAATTGTACTAAAGATCTTCTCCCTTTGGGTGAATTCTGTAATCAAGCTCTTTCTTAATTGATGTAATTGCTTTAATGGCCGGAGGACAGAAGCACTGAAGCTCTCTTCAGCGGTCTTTCATCTTTCTCTACAGATACTTATCTCTGTCTGTGATTGACAGGCTTTTACGCTTTAGGCTTTTTTAATTAAGTGTTTTACTATGTGTGTTTTAATGTTTGTGTGCACACATGTGTGTTCCGCTTGTGTGTGTGTGTGGGTCGTTTGCAGGGATGCAAAGTGTGGTAAAATTCAGTGCCAGGGAGGAGCCAACCGGCCTGTGATCGGAACAAATGCTGTTTCCATTGAAACCAATATCCCGCTACAAGAAGGAGGGCGTATTCTGTGTCGAGGAACACATGTTTACCTGGGTGATGACATGCCTGATCCTGGACTGGTTCTGGCTGGTACAAAGTGCGGAGATGGCATGGTGAGTGATCAGCTTATCACTTAAGACCCAGTATTATTATTGAACATTTGGTCTCACCATGCAAAGGGTGAGCAAACCATGCTAAATCACATGTGGCCAAGTATTATACACACATTCTTATTGTCCACAATGTTAATAAAAATGTTCTTTCTATAGGTTTTGAAGTAGCTGTTAGCTTGTTGTTTACTGCCCTATAACCACAGGATGCAGCTACATCATTTGTCCTCTAGAGATCCAAGAATGCTGACAATTTAAAAAACCTACTGTAGTATTCCTTTTGGCACTGAGCAAATAGTACTGCAGTACAAGGCCCAGAGAGGTTGTTCTTCCTGAATAAAAAGGGGATAATAAAGTTGCCTTATGGCAAACCAGTTATTTTATTAGGTGTGTCTCAGCTTTTTTCCTTCTATATGCTGCCCTTCTCACCACACCAGACACACCAGGGCCTTTTTCTGCCAAGAAAGAGACCTCTTGCTTTGAACTGGAGAACTTGGATCCTTAATCGTCTCTCCAGATTAGGTTACAAGATCTGTTCTCAGTCCTACCTAATGGCACACTGATTGTGAGAGCATATAATATGGGGCTCATATGAGCAGTGTCACCAACTTTCTCTTTCAGTAAATAAATAGGTAAACATTCACTTTTAAAGCAACTCTACTTCCAAAGTCCAGGAAGCCAACTTAACTTATTTGCAGTGTCCACTGGCCTCTATACTTTCCTTATGGTCCCAAGTTAAATGTTGTTCAGGTGCAGGTTCAGCAAGACAGTTAGAGTTAATACTCCACACACCATACCCTGTGGTTCTCCCTGATGGAATTTTTTTTTTAATCCAGTTGCGAAGGAGATGGCACTTTTTCACCATTTCCTGTAATACTGAAAATATTACACAAGTTTTGACACACAGCCCAGAACTGGCCAGGCCACACTTGCTCCTTTGCAGATACTCATGGTGCCTCTTCACACAACTAGATGATTGCATTTGCCAAACCCCCTGCAGCTGTGGATTTAGCTTGTGAAAGACCAGAGCTCTGCCTAAGTGGTTGATATTTGGCAGAATGTGTGAGGGTGGGGTTATATGTTAAAAAAGAACTACTTTATACGATATGTTGTCTATCAGTAGTTGTTCACGAGGGCCACCCCTGAAGGCGTAGTGAAAGTCTGGCCATCCTAGAGAAGGGGGAGACGCAATAATTGTTTAAATATGGGGATAATGCCGCACACTATGCACAAGCTATTTGACCGTCTGAAAAGCAGTTCTGAAGAAACATATTGGCAGCTTTAGAGTGTGGAACCAAACTGCGGGGTCCCTCAATCCTACAAGTCCTTAGAAGTTCTTTCAGTTACCTGAAGGGACTTGCCCTTGGTGCTAAAAGGCCTTTGAGGTTTGTGTGCAAAAATGGCCGTCTGCCAGGTTAGCACGTCTCCTGGCTGTAGTCTCTGCAGAATGTCAGTTAGCTCCACACGTTATCTGGGAATTGTGATTGCCTGAAGGTGGGTCTTTGTCACAGGCCTTTGTTCTTCTCAAAAGGGTTTTTCATTTTCCATGCCAATCAGGGCATTAAGTTGGCAGCACATGGCCCACAAAAGACCTGCAATTTGAAGAAGATGAGTGCTGCAAACCTAATGCGGGTCTTATTTTCTACATAAAAGAAACAGCTGGCTTTTTTCCAGTCTGATGTTTTTGTTCGGTCTAGAGGATACACAGCATAGTGTGGCTTTTGCAGCCGGAGTGCCCAAACGTCTTACTTTGGAAGGCCAAAACTGAAACTTACTGGTGGGCTGCGGGCCAAAATCAAACACCTATTGTATTGTATTGATAAAATACAAAATGGTACTCTGATTCCAGGCTCCCTTTTACTGATCAACTTCCTGCACACTCTGCTCACAAAATAATAAAATATTTATATAACAGTGATTTATATTTGGGCAGTCCTGCTTTTGCATCGTTATCCAATGAATTACATTGCGTTATGTGTGGTGCAGCTAGGTAAACATGTCCATCAAACATCACTTCAATAGTTGACTAAACCTGGTGTCAATATTAAAGATTTTATGTAGCATTTACAATTGTATTCCATTTCCATGTTAATTTCTCACTAATTTATGTATTTTCTATTAAATTGTTATTTGTTTATAGACAAGAAAACTGTGACTGTACTATCCTATTTGAGCAGAGAACATGCACTCGCTACTTTATGGTTTAGACACTAAACCTGTGCACATACAAAACAGATATTATCCAACTGTGCCACAGAACTGTTCACACTTCTTCTTAGTTTTTGTATTCATCTTCATTTGCTCTCCAATTATGTACTTGCTTAATGATGCTTGTTTTTCCCTTTATAGGTGTGCCTGAATCGGCAGTGCCAGAATGTCAGTGTCTTTGGTGTGCATGAGTGCTCTGGGAAGTGCAATGGACGTGGGGTGAGTGCAGAGTACCTACTAGCTCAATGTTATACACCGTAGCTTGTGAAACAGGGTCGTGGGAGGACTTCAATTTAGTCACTTTTTTTACCAACTTAATTGAAAATGAATACCATCTTACTGCCCTATGATTGCGCACCATAGCAGAGCAACTGTGTATTTACAGTGCAGCCTCTGAGTTATGGCAGCTGCTCCTATTCTGTATGATCAATCTTCATTGTCCCACTGAGGTTAAATCAATCCCATTTAACAGAATCATTTATGGTCTGCGCATAGTGTTGTCCATCATCTTCAGAATGTACAGTAAGAGAAGATACAGTGCAGCACTGCAGGGAGAGACCATAACAATAGTTCTGTTGCAGTATGAAAGTAACTCTTCCTGCCAAGAAATGATCACCTTTCTCTTTTAGCTTTTCTTATCAATAATTCAATAGGGAGTGCTTTTATGTTTTATTTACTTTGTTGTTTCGTTTTTAGAATCAAACACTCACCAGGGGCTAAATTCACCTACCGTAACCGCTGATCTTAACTGCCAATTAAGTCAATTTATGGTGCAGAGATTATATACAATAAGAAATCAAAGCTGTGAGCCTAAAATTGTATATTCCTTAAACTCTTATCTTGTAACTGACCAAAGACTCCTGGACCAAATTAGTCTGTCAATAAAAAAAATAACATCATGCTCAACAACAAATAAAACATATCTGCCAGTTGATCACTGGAATAAAAATGATCACATAAAAATGACTTTGCAATAGAATTGGAGTATAGAGAAATTGTTTCTCATTAAAAGTGTGGACTTGAGCTGCATCTTTCCGCCCGCAGAAGTATCTGCCAAATCAATTTGTCTGCCATTTTCTCAAACACGTCGCACAGTACGAGACCTGACTGGAAATTTAGTAATTCTTTGTATTTACTGTAGAAGCTGAAAGAATATTGTTTTCCTGCAAGTCAACTCACTTTATCTTGCAAGGTAAAGTGAGTTGACTTGCAGGAAAACAACTTGCAAGGCATGTATTGGCTTTATGCAGGAACATTGGCATCTATTTTTTTTTTTGCATATTAACCCGGTGAAAAGCAACTTTGTAGCTTTTTTGAACTTTATATATGCAAATGTGTCAGACATTTTCAAGAAATAAATAGATACAAATCTGAAGTGTGATCTTTTCTGATATATCAAATACATTTATATGAGATCGAGATAGAGCCAGATCATTGTGTGTACCTAAAACAAAATTCAGTGACTGACTTTTTACTATCCTAAACGTATTAAAAGGATTTCCTAAATGTTAGTTTTACGTAAGAGCGACAGATAATTTTACTTACCTTGTGACAAACATTTAAAGATTGTATTTGCTTCGTGTGTTGTAACACACACACACACACACACACACACACACACATAAAACTCCCCCAAAACCATACCTCCCTCTGAGCCCCCAAGTGCCTCTTAACCCCGTCACCCAGTGCGAAGGAGTGTCCATGGCCTGGAGGCAGTGAAGGCACTTGACTTTACGTCTGTGCTAAATGTAAATCCCCCACAGCTGCACAACTCTCTCTGCACCTCCCTCTTCCATCCTCCCTCCAACTGACAGCTGGACTGTGTTACCTCGCCAGGGAATCCTCCTGGATCCGACTTCTGCACTGGAAACCCGAGGCTTTACAGGATGGACTCTCCCATGCACATGTTTTATCTATTATGACTCTTGCATTTGTGCGAGTGCACACGCACAGCCAGTGTCCTCTTATATTGAAAGTCACTCAGACTAACGAAATGAGAGTGGCTTATTTATGAAAAATAAACCAATTCAGTTTCAATCTTGTTATTTGGGGATAGACCCTTTTTAGAGGGCAATGCATCATTTATATCTGGAGATAGCTGGTAAGAATATAAATGCCATTTGATACTATTTGCAAGGAAGTATCAGTGTAGTAATATATAGTAAAACTACCCTGTTTGCAGGTGTGCAACAACAAGAAGAACTGCCACTGTGAAGCACACTGGGCGCCTCCGTTCTGTGAGAATACAGGCTTCGGTGGGAGTATTGACAGCGGGCCAATGAGACTGGCAGGTTAGTGTGGACAATTTAATTTCTATCCTCTCTCATATAGACAGAGACAGCACTAACTAAGAAATAAGCAACAACACAAAGCCGTACTAGCTGCCCCTTTGTACATCTCTTTCTTGCAGAGTCAGTACTGGATTGATGTGTGGTTTGGATTCGAGTGTAACTCTCCTAGAACAACATAATTTCCACTCCACCAAGCAATAGATTACACAGCACAGTCTGTAGTCTTAAAAGAGAAAGAAAATGAATCTTAGTCCTTAGAGTGAAGAAGAGAAATATGTATCACAAACTGTGCTGCTGACCGTGGCCTAGCTGTAACAGTCTTTGCGTTATGTCCTGTCATTGTTCTGTGCTGTAGATGTGCGTGTGTGTGCATTAATGTGCGTGTTGTCATATATGGCATCAGCCGACAGTGTGGTCATTACAGTGGCAATCCTGGTCACCCTGGTCAGCCTTCTGGTAACCATCGTGATCATCTTTCTGAAGAGGAAGACTCTTCTACGCCTACTCTTCACCAATAGGAAGAGCACCTTGGAGAAACTCAGGTGACAAAGGAAGAACCAGTGAGATTTGATTGTTGCTCAGCGACAGGTTTGTGAGGCTGCAGCAAAAGCCCTTGAGAACTTATTCAATGTCATTCATTTCAAACTTTCAACTGTAAGTAACACCTCAGTTTGGCTCCAATGTCATGCAAAATGAATGACATTTCAACAAAAATGAAATTTGGCTACAGGGAAGTTTCCAACAATATATTATACGAGTAATATTTATAAAATTAAAGAACAGGCCAGTATTTTTAATTATGATCACCTGAGAAACACAAACAACTTGTATTTTTAATCTACAAACTCTGAATGTACTCTGAATACATCATATAAATGTATATGGACAAAAACAGGCTATAGTTTGGGCCTTCAGAGCCCCTAAGAACTTGGTAATTAAGTATTTCTCCATAAGGTTAATTATTCATGACTAAATGAGCCAGAATTGAAGTTAAAGTTAAAAAAACATCCTAAAATAACATTTATGAAGAGTTTAACACAGAGACTGTGTGGATATGTTTGATCACATTTGATTGACAGTGGCTTGGCAACATAAACAAACAACCCACTAACGGTCATCACAATTTGACTCAGATGTTGCTAAGCTATGATCTTTTTTTTTTACGAAGCTGTTAAATTCTTGTTTATATGAGGGGGGAAAAACAGGCCTATATTTTCAGTCAGGATCAGCTGAGAAACACTTTCATCTACACTGAAACAGCAACAGCATATGTGAATATACCAGAAATCTAATGTATATGGTGAAAAAACTACAGAACTTTAAGTACTTTTATTGTACTTTTAGATCTGTGGAGGCCAACAGACCAACCAGCCCCATCAGGACTCAGTCCCATTACAGGCCCACACCACAGCGCAAGCCTCCACCCACACCCTCTGGCGTCAACATTTATAAGGTGAGTCATTCCCTGCAATATGTCTGGATCTATCTATGTTTGTTTGTGTGCTCATTTCTTTGATTCAGAAAATGTATTCAGTCTCGCCATATATCTCTCTCGAAGAAGAAGAAATATTAATTACGGCGCTATTGTTGTCAGGAGGCAGAGAAAGTTTAATTGAGAGATTGCTAAATTTAAATGAGACTCAGGATGTTGTTATTTCAGCCCCTTTATTATTTGTTTGTGATAAACAATTTCTTTTAGAAGAATGGAGCGGAGTTGATTGATTACGGCAGAGGAAGCACGCAGGTTTTGATTTGTTTGTTGGAAATGATAAGCAGAGGGAGATTACCTATCATTTGGATGTGTATGACAAACTAAAGCCGCACGCATGTATATGCATGAGTGTGTGTGTGTGTATGTGTGTGCAGTATCTGCAGCATAGAAGTTATATCTAATATCATAATTGAGTGTAGAATTTCATCCAGTTTGCTTAATTATATTCAGTCGACCAGAGTGACTATTTGAAACAGCCTGTCCTTTCTTATTATAGTCACCAATTCAGCCACTCGCTGATGTGCTGATGTCCAGATGTCAGTCAGCATCGCAGCAGCTCTCTTTGAATACATCTGCATTGTGTGTGTGTGTGTGTGTGTGTGTGTGTGTGTGTGTGTGTGTGTGTGTGTGTGTGTGTGTGTGTGTGTGTTGTCCAGCAGCCAAATCCTTTCAGGCCATTTTAGGTGTTATTGTTTTGTTCTGGAGCGGAGGGGTAACAGCTGGTCAGGACATGTGGTCAGACTCTGGCTTTTACAGTTTCACAACGTCATATCTAATAATGTTGTTTTCCAGTTTTATGAGCGACTCTAACATCAGCTTTTTCACATTAATGAGAGCTTCATGAGTGAGGTCGAATTTGACTTTTTATGCCTGCTTCAGCTATTCATTATTTTCATGATCACTTAATGTGCCGATGGTTTGTTTGATGATTCTAATAATCTGACATCTTGTTATTTGATCAAGGTCAATGAAAATGTCAGAAAACAGTAAAAAAAATACCCATCGCAGTTTCTCAGAGGTTCATTTGAGGTTCATCTTCCTTCATGGGTTCAGAATATTGGACCTGACCCAAAACTTGTGGAAAACCTAACAGGACCAGACAGGCGTGACCCAACCCAAAATTCACCCAAAGACAGTAAGACACAATCTGAATAGACCAGAGCGTAACTAGACCTGATCCCAAGTGCGGTCAGCCCAAACCGAAAAAGAACACCAGCAGTGGCAGCAGCGTGATGCAACACCAATTAATGAGAAGCTGAGATCGAAAAGTCATTGTCATTGTTCCCTGCTATTTACGGATCTGTCTCACCCCAAAAAGTAGATTTTCCTCCTGTGACGATCATGACGAAGCAAGTAAGCAAAGCTGATAAAGAGGAAGATAAACTTGCTTGTTTTTTTTTTACCAAAAGTCTAAATATTTAATTCATGTTCAATTTACAATAATATTAAACTGAGAAAAGCAGAAATCCCTCCCATTTGAGGGGCTGGAACCAGCAACTCTGTGACATTTTGCTTGATAAAAGACAAATAATCGATAACTGAAATACTTATTACTTATTATCTGGAGTTGTGAGAGTGGTTAAAAAAGTAAGAACTTTGAGAAGTCACAGTAGGAAATGAGAGGAGGCGAACTCTGTGTTTACATCGATGATGCTTGGTGCTCAAACGCAAGTGGAGGAAAACATTTTGCTTGAAACATTGCAGAATTATTTCTATGCATGTGTAGGATGAAGGAACTGAACTGCAAACTTTCATGTTATATATCCTTACGTTGTATGAGGATGTCTATATTTCCTTAATTCCTTGAAAAGCAAAGCTGTAAAAAATACAGTTAATGATTTAGTTCCAGTTTAATACTTCAGTTTCAGGGTCCCGGTATTGTTGGTGGTGGCTCACTGTCACACTATCATGACTTTCTGGGACACTTGAATAGAACAGAGATTGTTAATGTTATTAGCAACACCTGTGCTTTTCCTGCTATGACAAGTCAAAACATCTGCTGTAACAAAAGCCCATGCACTGCCGCCATAACAGATGACACATAACTGCTGTAATCACTGAGAATAACTTCTTCTCCTCCTCTTTTCAGTCGTCTCTCCTGAGTGCGGAGCCACTTCTCCCTCCACACAACTTCCACTCTCACAGCCTGCGCAGACTGCCCCTCTACCAGCCCCTGCACATCAGCCAGCCCATGCCGGTATCTCTGAGCGTGGGTCAGCCCACCCTGCCGCCTCTCCCGGCCCACCACAGGGTCCTGCCCGTCCACACGTCCCTCTCGCCACCTCGAGCGCCACCTTTTCTCAGTCTGCCTCGCCAACAGTCATCGTACAGGGTGGACCAGGTTTGTTTGCAAAAATGTTGATGTTGAATGAATGTTTTTTTTGTAAAACACAGATTCGGCGGTATTGCTTAGATCTCCAAACGCATGTTTACTGCAGGTTTGTAGCTTATAAATCGTCTTATAATACTTTAAAATGGGAATTTATTTTTGTAGACCACAGCCTTAATGGACCATTTAAATGGCATAGCCCATTAAATTCAAGTTGTGTATATTTTACTGTACATTACTCCTGACTGTTTTCTAAACCATACCACAGGTTTCTATGTTGATTCTCTCCAACATATTTTAGGCAACCATCAGTTTCATTTGATTGTAATATGAAAGCATGACAATGAACCTGCTGAGACTTGAAACTTTCTTGAAACAGGTAATAGTGAACATTTACTTTTCTCTGTCAAAGTTACATTCTCATTCTCATTACATTGTTATGATTCTTAGGTGGTGTGTTTTGGAGCCTTCTGACATTTGAGATTTGAGTAATTTGCTACAAAAAGCATTGAAGATCATGTGATATCACTAAAAGCTCCAGAACAAGCTATGCTGTTAACACAACATCTCTGTTCTGGAGCTTTCAGTCGTATCACATGATCTTCCTCAGCAGATGAATATGCCTTGTAATTATGTAGGGTGTTTGCAGAGTAAAGTAGAGATAAAATTGATTGGATGAATTAAGTTAATGTTACTTGTACTACAAAACAAAATAGACATGGAACAAATACCAGTTTTCCTTCGAACGCACAGATGAGTTTTAAAATCAGTCCCTGTTCACACTGTATTACCACATGATAGTAATGTAACTGAAAATAACTAAAGCAGAAGAAACGCTCACTGTGATGGATTACATGCCAAGCAAAATTTAAGTCTCAAGATTTTCACACCATACTGAAATTAAAAGAAACCAATGGAATGGAAGGTAGGAAATAAATCTGAAAACTGAGGTACTCTTTAAAAACGGTCCGCAGCCAGTAATGTAAAATATATGCAAATTGTAGTTAATGGTCTAAAACATGTACAGCTACCTGCGGGGGCATTTTAAAAGGCTGTGGTAAAGTGCCTGATACTGGAAACTCACTGCATGTCTGCACTGCAGTCGGCCTGCTTTCCCACATATCGACACACAAAATTCAATCCGTCTCCCTCCTTGTGACCCGACTCCTGAGTAAGGTGCTGCTTTCAGCTGAGCCAGCAGTATTGGACGCAGTGGAGATAGTAAATCCATCTGTCCGCTGGATTTGGTGGTGGATCCAAATCCTGATATGTTCCTGTAGCAGCGCAGCGAGGAGGGTTGTGTTGGATGTTGGCACTCTGTGAGCCGCAGCAGGGTGCACGGGTAGTTGACAGATGTACGCTGCTTTAAAAAAACAGGGAAGACTTTAGCTTTGGGATATGACACTTTCTCTTTGTCGGATAAAGAGCATCACATAATCCCAGATGTAAAGCCAGAGCATGAAGGACTTAGAGGGAGGCGTGCAGAGATCCAGTTTTCATACCTCCAAGGTTAATCATTCAGGTGAGCAGCAGCAGTAGTAAAGTAGTTTTACCCAAGTAATGTACTAAAGTACAGTTTTGAGATACTTGTACTTTACTTTATACTGTTACTTAATACATCTACTCCTCTATATTTTGGAGGCAAATGTTGTGAGCTACTTTTTTACTCCACTACATTTATTTGACAGCTTTAGTTACTAGTTACTTTTCAGACTCATCACCTACTTCAAAACACTGTCTGGTGGCTCCTTGTCATGTTTCAGATCTCTGTGAGTTGTTATCAGTTCCACCAGAGACATTTCATCCTCTGAACGTCTCAGATGATTTCATTTAAATAACTGTTTGAGGCCCAATGAGGTAAAGTGATTCAATATTTAGCAAAAAAAAAAGGAAAGATGTATTACAGAGTTTTGTAGCAGAACTTCTTACTTCCTCTACCATTAATCATCTGTATGTAAAGTAGTTCCATCTCAACCAGATACAACACTAAAATGCTGGTTACACATTGGTGAATCCGTAATTAACACTAACTGTTATATAAGATACAACAATAGTCTAGTAGAATCAGTACTTTAATTTTTGACACTAAGTACATTTTGCTGATTTTCAAGGACTTTTTCTTGTAATAGAGTATATTTACATTGTTGTATTGGTACTTTTAAGTAAAGGACCTGAATACTTCATCTACCACTGAGCAGCAGAAACAACTGGCATCATATCCGGCATTGCAGCGTATCACCCTTGATTGATATGAACGTGTGCCAACTGAAGATGCACTTTAACTGAAAGGCCACTGTTTGCTTTATAAATAGGCTGCTCACTGACCTGCCAAAACAATGAAACCCTGCTACCTGCTAATATCTACTAGCTCATTTTGCTGTAATGAAACAGATGGAGCACGTACCGACGGCAAACATACTGTAGGTCAGAAACAGTAGAGGGGATTTCTGTCGAGATTTAATAACGGGCCAGCAAGGACATACAGGACATCAATCTTTAAATAGAAAGCGTATTACAAGCTTATTGTAATACTTGACACAACCTCCCCTGCTGTCTGTGCCAATATGTCTTATTTTAAAATACTTTTTTGCAGGCTATCTTATGCCTGCTTGCAGACTGCACACCATTAAATGTTGAGGTGTTTCAAGGGGAATAAAGCCTATCCTGCATTTATTACAGTGAGGCAATACATGAAAAGAAAACAGTGTGGGAGCTGAAAATGTTCACAGATCTGCTTGCTATTATCTTGTTCGCCCGAAGGAAAAATACATATCAGATACCTGCAGAGTCAAATAAATATGAGGCAAATAAGCCCAAACCCTGTTCAGGTGCTCTGCAAAAGCAGGCTGCAGTATCACACTGCTGAGGAGTTAAAAAATATGCCTTTCCAAAATGTCATCTTTTCTGGAACTTAGAAAAATAGCTTTGTTTTTGGCCAGACGACCACGCATTTTTCAGTTCCTCCGGTGGGTTTTGAAAGGTGCTTGTAAGCCCAAGGCTCATAGATCTTTCTCAAGCCGCAGAGGACAGTGCAATCCTTCATTTTGAATTAAGACGTGAACACCACCAAGACTCCAGTTACAGTGTGAGGTTTTCTGCCAAGAGCGGCATTAGAATGCACATGGGTCCTGGATTATTCTTGCATTTGAGTGGAAGCATCTGTCCGTTTACATCTTTGTTTTCTTCTGTACACTCCCTCGAAAAGCAGCCTGATTTTGTGTTTCTGGTTACTCTTCACTTAAACTAAACTGTCCATAACTTACATCTGTTTGTCAGGAATGAATGTGTGCTTAAAGATCACAGTGGATGGTACACTGTATGTGAAAGTCTGTTAAATACTGTGAAATTCATCTAATGGGATCACGAGAATCCCCTGCTGTGTATGTTTTATTACCCCCAAACTCTCAAACTCTCCCAAGTAAGAACAGTATCCACTTGGGACTGTAGTACAGATTCCGAGTAAAACAGACCTGCTGTGCCGTTAACGGAGCTCGATCTGATTAAAGCATCGTAACATTTCAACCTCTGTGGGGCACCTTGTGTATTAACTGCATCTGGAGAGCTGCGGGCTGTTTTATGCAGAGAGTTTTGCACATTTTGAGTTTGTAAAAACATTTTTTTCTCCGTTAAGAACTCCTACAGTGCACCTTGGCTAATTAATATTGTATGGCACTTTTTATTGGCTACCAATGGTGTGACTTGTGATACTATGAAAATAATATTATTTGGATGAAATATGTTATGTCTTAAATTGCTTCTTAATTTGTAAACCACTTATTTAGTTAATTATATAGAGTTGAAACAATTAGGCAACTAATCAGTCAACAAAAACTGATAGGGAATTATGTGGATAATCATTTTAAAACCAAAAATACAGTGTCAATATTTATTTATTCTTTTAGTCCTCTATAATTAATTCCATATCTTTGGTTTAGAACTTGTTGGTCTGACAAAACAAGCAATTTAAAGACATTAGCTTGGGCTCTGATGGGGATTTTACCTATTTATTTTTTTTACATTAGACCAAAACAATTAATGGTTTTATCAGAAGATAAACAATGGAATAATCAATAATGAAAAAGTCATAAGTTGCAGCCTTTATTTTGTATTTCCCTCACTTATTTCAACTTTCAACAACACACTAACATACTCTGCATGGCCAAAATGATGTGGACACCTGAATAAAGTATGTGGAGACCCGAACACTACATCTATATGTGATTGTTGCTCATGCTACATCTGCAGCCCCAACTCCTCTGGGAAGCTTTACCACAGAATTTTGCAAACCTGGCTGCAGGGATGTGCTACCATATACCCATGAGAGCATCAGTGACAGGCCATATGGCCCGGCTCACAGTCAGCACTACCCAAGTCATCATAAAGGTGTTGGATGGGAGTTGAGGTCAGGGCTTTGTGCAAGTTCTTCCACACCCAACTCTGAATAACATTTCTTTATGGACCTTGTGCTGACGGGGACTTCGTCGTGTTTAACTTAATTGGAACTAAGGGGCTCAAACCATGAAATACAGCCACAAATCACTTAAATATGTGGACACTGCAGAGCTGTGCTGATGTGAAACCTTGCTGCGCTTGAGTTCTCTGGGTCACACAGAAATTAACACTCTTTATAACTGTAAGTCTGTATGTTGAAGTCCTGGCTACATTCATGAATGTTTTAAATCTTTCAGCTCTCTTAAGTCGAACCTAAGCATGAGGTGGAAAACTTTTTTCTCCTGTGCTCGTATTACTTGAAGTTTGTCCATGTATTCCTCTTGAGTGTGTATAATGGTGCGTGTGTGTGTGTGTGTGTGTGTGTGTGTGTGTGTGTGTGTGTGTGTGTGTGTGTGTGTGTGTGTGTGTGTGTGTGTGGTGTGTGGGGTGTGGAAGTTTTGTGCAAATATGTGCGATGGTAGCTGGGCTGCTGGTAGCAGATGTTTATCACTGCCTTGCCTCCTTGCTGTAGATTAGTAACACATGATGGCACCTCATTCAGATAACCTTCCTACATTCACACAGCACTGCCACAGAGGTGGTAGAGACAGAGGAGGAAGAGGAGGTGGTTTGGGATTCGTCTCCTGCTAGCTGTGTGGAACTCAGAGAAGATACTGATAACATAGTGCCCTCTAGTGAAACGTGTCTGCTTTTGTCTCCAGATAGCTCTTAAACAGATAGTCCATATTTAAAGGGAGGTAGCAGGTGACATGCTAGATTAATCAGGTTTCCTGTGAGTCAAGATAAGAGTAATGTGCTCTGCGTTTTTTTTTTTTTTTTTTTTTTTTAAATTAATGTCAAATAGGATGTTTTATTGATTCTTTAATACCAATTTAATACAGTGCTAATCTGCATTTGAAAATCAGTTAATTCAGAAAAAATAAATCATTCCTCGAAACACATAAACCATAATCACGTACCTCTGTGCAGTAAATACTAGGGAGTTTAAATACAGGACTTTTGGCTTAAAAATAGACAAACACGATAAATTTTTAGCTCTATTCTTCTTCATTTTATAGACTAATACCGAGCTCATATGCAGCACTGACCTAATGGACTGAACTTTCTTTTCTTCTTCAGGACTTTGAGAAACCCAGGCCACCCCAGAAACCCCTGCCTGCAGACCCACTAGGGAGGAGCTCTCGGCTCGGTCACAGCGCCACAGCAGCGGGGTTCCACATCCTTGGAAATGGACCCCTCCCCATACCTATCCCCACTGTGCCCAAGCCTCCACCCACCATCCCTTTACCCAGCAGGTCGGTGCAGGAATCACGTGTCTTCATAGCCCTTTGAGCTACAAGGCTTGCACAATGTCTGGCACCTGGTGCACGAGACGCAGTGGTGGCATTTGCAAAAAGAAAGAGATAGATTTTAAGTTATTTTTTCATTGAAGCCTTAATTAATGACCATCATAAGGAGGGACACTTGCCCCCTCTTATCACTAGTGACTGTCCTAATAAATGATCCCATCAGTTTTCTTTTTTTGGACTCACATTGGGAGTGCTGGTCTAGTTATTATTATTACTACTTTTATTATTATCAATCTAAGAAAGACCTCCACAATTTAAAATTGTCATATTTGCATGGTTTCCTGGTTTATTAGAACCACTTTTAATAAGGGGTGATAGTTAAGTGATAGATGTATCACACTGCCTTTCAAAAAGCTAAAAAGACATGCATTTAATACCTCTCTATATTCAACATTGTGCTGCTGTAGCCTTTACATGAATCTAACATCAGACTTGTGCGGCGTTGAAAGTGTTACTACATATTAAAGGTGCAGGTCTGACATACGTACATGAATAACATGCATTTGTTTATGTTTCAGACCTGTGCCGATGTTGCCCTATAGACCACCAAAGAAGGACTGCTGAGCTCTTGACGTCATGGAGTGGATCCTCCCACCAACAGAGGGAGATTTTCTTGATTTGCACTAATTACTGAGACTCTGTAAGACCTTTTGGACACTAGTATCACAGAGTTTCTAGTGAAAGGGGGCAGACATCACACCTCGGTGCTACGCCTCTAAAAGGTGCTTTTTTGTCTTCGCTCAGGTACCAATGAACTATTTATCTATTTAACTATTTAACTTCAATATTAGCGGTCTCTGAACGGAGCACTCTGATCAAGAGTGACTTTTCCCTGTGGAAAAGCTTAGAAAAAGAAGGAAACATTTCTTTAGAGTATTTCTTTTGCATTCTTTGGTGATTTTTATACTTTTTTCTCAAATGAAATGCTGAAATATATAATGTTTTTATAACTAGGGAAGTCGCTTGAATAATTGAAGCGCAAAAAAGTTTGTTTTTGGGACTAAAATGAAGATAAGGGAAATGGAGCACAACTCAGCAAGTTGTCAGTGTAGCTTGTGGGCCATAGAGCAGTGTTATTTATTCTGTTTTTCATATTTTTATGAGGTATTGAATACCAAATACATCTTTTCTATTCATGTCGCCACGGTGCTACAAAGTAGATATTAATCAAATGTTTTTTCAATTAAATACATGCATTCATATTAAAGCCTCGGACTACACCACTTTTCATGGGATTAATCCGATCTGCTCATTTTACAGTCTCGCAGTCAGGCTCCTTTATTCCCTTATAAGTATAAGTTCACTACTCAGTCAAGTACAAAAGTACTTTTCACACGTTTCAGACTGGCTCTGACACACTGCTCGGGGCATGTGTTGGACGCCCAACACGTTTTCCTGATAACTGGCAGACGCTGCGGAGTCTCAACAGATTCGACAGACTGATTGTGTTCCAGAGAATTACACCAACACCAAATAATTCAACATTAACTCTGGTGTTTGTATGTTTAACATTTACGCTCACTTTGTCTCCGAGTGCGCAAGCCAAGAAGAATGACTTCAGCGCTGGGAGCTTTCCAATCTCCTCCTCGACTGTGTCCAACGAGATGTTTTACCGTATCTGTCCCTTCTTTCTGTTTTTTTTGCCTTCATAACATTCCTTTTGGATTTTGTACGGTTGTGTTATTCCTGAACTCTGAGATTATTCATGCATTCACATCATCATTCATTAGATTCAGAGCTTGGCGTTGCACTCTGAGTTAGGCAATTTCCTTGATGTTATTTGTTGTTGACTTGCTGTTACACAAGAAGGGATTCAAACTTTACAGCGCAGTTACTTTTTCTGTGTCAATGTTCACTTTGGCATTTTTATATTTGCGGTGTACCCAAATACAGTGCTTGTTTTCACACCAATGCAGACCGATTGAAGCCAGTAAAGCCCTGCATACCTGCGTTGCATTCGTGTACAGACGTGTGCAAAGTAACGCTTTTTCTTGAGATGTATTCGACAGTCAGAGTAACTGCTCTCCGCTGGAAAATGTTTGTCAGTGCTGTGTCGATGTTTATACCATTTGTAAATCCTAAATGTAACGTGTTTATTTGCATAACTGTAACATGTTTAAAAGCCATTGTAAAGTGTAAATATTGTATGTCAGTTATTATCATTTCTCTTATTTGTTTTTGTTCTTTTTTTTTTACAAGCACAGTAAGTACTGCTTCGACGCCGTGCCCCGTTTACACTGGGTGGTGAAAACATAGAACTTGTAGGCCACAGACAAATGAGGGATTTTATTGATGAAATCAGAACCAAATAAAAGTACCTTTATGACTGTTTACAATACGTTGTTTTAATTTCAATTTCATTCATACAAAAAAACACAAGAGAGAAACTTTTTAAAACCAGAAGTGGCTGTTAAAGAGATAAATAAGGGTTCATAAGGACACATTTTCACAATTTGATGATGAAATATGAATAATTAATTGACTTTTTTGTTGTTGCTATTGTTTACTGGCTTCTGCCTAAAGATCAGTCTCCAAAATGTGACTCACCCCATAAAAAAGCCACCAAAAAGTCAGCAAATACGGAATTGAATCAATCGAAATGTTCTTTATTTGGGGAAAAATCCTACTGTATATGAACAACTGGCAACATGTGATACTTAAAAATCCGATGAACACACAGCACTGGTAAGAAAACAATGAGACTAAGATGCTTTGCTCATGCTTCCCTCTAGTAAGCAGCAACTGTGATTCTTAGTGAGAAAATGACTCAAAACACTTCAGGTGTGTGTATCATTTTGTCAATGAGTGCAGGAAAGCCTGTGCATTATTGTCCAATACTGCCATCTGCCAGACCACACTGGTTACTACAACCACTGCATGCTCCCCTCCCTCCCTCCCTCCCTCCAGCTTTATCTCGTTATCTTGCCTTAATGTGCTCCCTCAAACCACAGGGTGAAGTTGCCCTTCAGTGCTGATTAAGGATCCGATCCCCCTTTAACTCTTGTTAACTTAGACTATTACTGGGGATGAATACAAAAACAGAAAAAGCTGTCCTTAGAGTGAACTAAAAAATATGATAAAAAGTAACCACACTAATTTGGGCTGTTTTTTTCCCCACGAAAGCAGTAGCAGTAGTAGTATAACAGTAAAGTATGGCATATTAAAAATTAACGACTGTTGTTGTACAGAGTGGCTTGCAAGTGAAACAGTATGTTAACGTTAGGTTGCCAGTTATTAGCCACTTGTGAGCGCAAAAGCATTTTCAACACTTCCTACTGAGGTTAGGGGGACGGAACAGTTAGACATTTTGGGGAATGTGTTTATTCGCTGTGTTACCTACTATAACTGCTATACCGCTGTCATTTCTGTCCGGTAAGTTGAAGGATACCTCCAGCAGCCGTGCCGCTAAGGACATGGGGGGGGGGGGGGGAGGGGAGAAGCCTTGAGAAATGCTTGACACCAGAGTTGAACCAGTTGCCAGGCAACCAGCGTAACGTATTTACCAAAATTATCCAGCACGTAATGTTACCGGGCGTAACCACGTATTCAGTAGTGAAAGAGTAGCAATGTGTCCCCAGCAATGTACAGTAGAAAACATGTTAAATATGCTCTCCTTTTTGAGCGCTGTCTCTTGTTATTTCCCTTTTTTTTAATATTTACATTTCAGTTTGCCAAGGAAAACATTAAGTGTGTGAATCCCCCCCGACTTGGTTGCGCCCACTATTGTTCATGGTTGCCAATTTAGTGACTTTTCAGACTCTCTTAGCAACTTTATTTCTAAAAAGCCACTATTGACTACTTTATGTATTGTTTTATCCATTGGAAGCTATTCTATTATATCTATTCTCTACAACTGGAAGATGTATAATTCTAATTGGTAGGTATGTTTAAAGTCAGTAAACAATTAGCAACCAAAATAAAATGGAGTCGCAGCCATTATCTTAGTGGATATATTCCTTTAAATGTAAACTCAAAGGTCAATATAGTCATCAAAGCTATGTTCTAAATGTGCATAGAATTGTGGGGAATTCACCGCTTTAAGCATGAAGTAAGTCATTGTAAGCACATGCTGTCAGCAGAAACACATGTTTCTAAGGTTGTTTCAGGGTTAGCTGAATCTGGAGAGAAGCCATAAACTGTTAAAGTAATAATGATGGACCATATATCCACAGGCCTCCATTTCAAATGTTGTTACCAAAGCACAGTTTTCCTTTAGTTTTTTAGACGTGGTCCTACAACTGAAAAGCTGTAGGCTTTTTATTGGAGCAGTAACACTGTGGAGGCTGCAAGTAGATCACAACAAACATTTGTGCCAACCTCTTCATTTTCTGGCACAACAGTTTTTCTTTTTCTTTTTTGGGGGGGGATGTAGAAATAAATATGTGGTTTGTCAACCACTGAGATAATCAGTTGCCAAATGAAACTACAGTTGATAAATGTATTTTACACTATGTACAGCTTGTGGCCTTTGTGTGTGAGCCAGTTCTCATTGTAAACACCAGACCCCACTGAGTATCTGCCCATCTATCTCTGTTCTCACATCAGTGTGTGTGTGTGTGTGTGTGTGTGTGTGTGTGTGTGTGTGTGTGTGTGTGTGTGCATCTGTTGATGACCGCACTTCTATGGGATTAGTGGCCACATGACAACACTGGGCTGGCCGCCTAGTGAGCCTTTCATTTGGCTTCACTTGCAGAGGCGGTCTGTGTGCTGTCCAACAGTTTACTGAGAGCTGGAGATTTCCAAACTTCATTTTTGGGGGATCTGTAAATGAAGTGTAAACTGGACAGATTGGGAGCTCACTTGTGATGGCACAGGACATTACCAGTTTAACTGGAGAGGACTATTTTGAGGGGAAATCACCCTGTTGTTCAGACACAGATGCTTTGAGTCAAGGAGACAAAGAGTATGATGACATTTTGGAGCTTAATCAGTTTGATGGACTGCCATATTCTTCCAGGTTTCACAAACTGCTGAGAGAAAGGAAAGAGCTGCCAGTGTGGAAAGCAAAGTGTGAATTCATGGACACTTTGGCCAAAGGACAGTTTGTCTGTGTCAGTGGCTCTGCTAAAACTGGGAGGAGTTCTCAAGTGAGTACTGTGGGGCATTTAATACTTTACATTCATGCAACAGCAGATTGAACTTTGCTTCTGGGAGATATTTTAAGTCATCTTACTATCAATTTGTGGTGGGGAAGCATCTGTGATGTTCACAACTTCTCTCACTCTTATTCTGAAACAGATTCCCCAGTGGTGTGCTGAAGTCTGCCTGTCAGTCCAGTTCCAGCATGGCATGGTGGTTTGTACCCAGATTCACACACAGCAGGCAGTAGATCTCGCCTTAAGAGTGGCTGATGAGATGGATGTGAACATTGGCCATGAAGTCGGGTACAGCATCCCTTTGGAGACGTGTTGCACTAATGACACAGTCCTCAGGTATAGTAAAGCAGTAATGCTTCCTACGTTCAAGCGCAGATGCATGCAGTGTTTCTCTAGCTGATTCTTTCTCTCCTTTTGCCGGGTTACAATGAAGCATGGTCCTGACACACACAGCTAAATCACCCCGCCTTTTCTTATTCTCTGGAGGGAAGTGAACAAAAGGCTTGAGGGGGCTCTTTTCAGGGTCTCCTCCGCAGCTGCCCGGTTCCCTGTCTGCCCATATGTCACACTCCCTCATGTAGGTCCCTCATAAGTCAGCTGGGGAACAAAGAAACTCAGCACATTGAGGGGAGGGAGATAAGATAAACAGGCAAGCTGCAAGTACGAAAGGATCCACTCCCCAGACTAATTATCAGAGTAAATTACACTAATGGGGGCCGAGCTGATGTGTAGACAAAGTGCCTTTCATTAAGATGCCATTCGGAGGCATGCTGAATGGATTTTCTGAATATACTGTTCCACTCTTTCAGCCTAGAGGCTTGCAATAAAAGAAATCAGAGGATTTATTTCAGGCTGTTATGAATTTAAATACAGTGCAAGTGCCTCTGTGCGTCTATTTTCTCCCCCCAACGTAAAAAATCATTTTACCACCCCCAACAGGTACTGCACAGACGACATGCTCCTGAGAGAGATGATGTCAGACCCTTTGCTTGAGCGCTACGGTGTGGTAATCGTGGACCAGGCCCACCAGAGGACTGTGGCAACTGATGTACTCCAGGGTCTGCTAAAGGACATCGCCCTGCAGAGGCCAGAGCTCCGTGTGGTCCTCCTCACAGCCGGTGAACCCGAACCCAAGCAGTTGGCCCACTTTACTGGGTCAGCTGTGCCTCTGATTCGCCTAGAGAACCCAGGTGCAGGGGAGGTGGTGTACAGCGGCACAGGCGACAGCTACTTCTGCTCTGCTCTCCGTCTGGTGCTGGAGATCCACCACTCGGAAGAAGAAGGGGACGTGGTTGTGTTTCTGGTGACGGCGCAGGTAAAAAAGAAAAAGCAGCACCGCACGACTGATGGATTCTGCTGTCTGAAAATGTGTCTTCCTTTGACTCTCTTATTCATTTACTCTCTAAGGAGATAGATCTGGCCCATGACATCCTGTGTCATGAGGGACAGACCTTACCCCCTCATCTGGGTGAGGTCCTGCCCGTTGCCGTGCACCCTGGCCAGCCTGGGAATCTACCAATGCTGGGAGAGGAGGAGACAGGCCGGACCCGCAGAATATTCCTCACATCCAGCCCAAACGAGGACTTCTTCTGGGGTGTTAACTCGATAAGCTTTGTCATTGATGCCGGGCTTGAGAAAAGATATGTAAGTTAAATAAGAGTTCAAGTGAACCATATTGCTGCTAATGTAGAAACCCACCAGAAGTGGGCATGGACATTTCAGGGTCTCCCCAGCAGGGTATTTATGCTTTGTTGCTTTAATCATAATGTAGGAATCAGTTTGGGTTGTAACATTATGTATTACATTGCTCTATACAAAATTAGAATAACACAGTTTACTATGTCTGTGTTTGACATTATATGTCTTGCAGATTTGTGTATTTTAAATGTTTCATTAAATGTCTTTATATAATCAGTGGAGTAAAAGAACAAAGGTATTATCTTAAATATATATTAGTAAGTACTTGTTATGAGGAAAAGTGGAACTTTGAGTGTTATATTACATATATAAATTTTTTAATGCCGATGCATTCATATGTAAGTAGCATTTTAATTTAGCAAGTCGAGGCGGACCTACTTTAATCCGTATGCATTATATTCTATAAGATGATAATGTGTTTTGTATGTAAAATCTTCATCTGCAAAGTAACTAGTAACTATAGCACACACATAAATGTAATGGAGGAAAAAGTACTACAGTACTAAAGTATTAAGTGCTTCAGTAAATGCAGTAAGTTACAT